TCTTATACTGATTTAGTTAACTTTATCAAATATTTAATGTTAGATTTTTCTTACTGTAATGGAGTGTTTAAACTCATTTTCGGTAGCGACAGCCCTAAAATAGGGTTGACAGTTTTAATAGTGTAAAAAAGGGTTAAAGCACTTCTCAAAAAAGGTAATGTACTTCGTAGAGGTATAATATCCTCGGCTAAAATCGATTCTTGTAGGAAGTGAACCTTTATAAATTGTCGGGGGTTAATGTTAGGGGCTCTGAGAAGCGGAAGTTATTGCCAAGAACTTCCTCGTCTTTGGCCGAAGGCTTCAACGGAATGTGTAATATTTGAAACTCATGTTAATTAAGAATTCGTACTTTACGTTCTGTCGGTTGTTTAGGTATGTTTACTGGGATATTAAGTTGAAGTAAGTTGCCTTTGATTAACTTTCAAAGTTTTATACGTAAGTTTTATGAATAAGTTGACAAAGAGGGATGAAAAGAAAGCGGCTTCCGGGTTTTGTTGCTATTGGTTTTAAATATTTCTAAAGTCCAATTATAGTTTCTTCTATTCTCGTAATTTTCGAAATGTAATTACATATTGTATCTAATCGAATATAATATGCAAAATTAATATTAAAATAATTTTAGAAACAAACTAAAAATAAATATTCTGCTAAATTCCGTAACGAAAAATCTGTCTTTACTGTAGTGGAATTTGACTTACAAATACAATCAGAATGGATGAGTTCAATTAACGCTGGATTCGCTTTGTTCGTCATTTTATTCCAATTTAACAATTTATCGAATTTGACAACCATTACAATATATAGGGACTTATATTAAGATTTTATCTTGGATGAAAACACTAAGGTTAAGAGATAAAAAATGCGAGAATGTCTCTCATAGTATTTATGGGTGGCAGAATATTTTGTATATGTAAGTAACGGTCAAATAACTTAAAACTGAGCTGTTGTAATTTGTATTACTCTCATACTGTTAGTACAAATATAAATTCCCGCGACGTCAAAGCATTCAACATGGTTTAATATTAAAAATAAAACGAGCAAAAGCTCGTAATAGCATTGATTCCTTTGAGATGAATCTCAGTCACCCTCCAAGACCGTATCTAACCTTTGAAGGCTCATTTTTATCGTCATCACGTTCCTGTAAACACAATGAAAAATGTTTGGAACATTTCAATTTTTTGAAGTATCATTTTCCTCGAGATTAAATTATTTATTTTTATTTAAGACAGAATATTCTTTCGACTTTGATTACGAAAATTAATGAAGTAAATTTGTAGACGCTAAGAGCGGGTACACACATTTCATTAAACAATCGCTCAATTGTTGAGCGAATTCAACTGTTTAGTTGCACAACTAAAAATCGAGTCGTGTGCGCACCTTCATATAAACTCACAGGAATCAAAGCGAGACAAAACAGTTGTGCGATAGTTTAGTCACAGGTGCACGTTCTAAATAGATTTAATAATGAACAGAAGAGTTTGTGTTGGATAACTGATCTTTTCATTTGTTTTAATTCTGAAACAATATTAAAAATGAACTCTATTGGGTTCAGCGACTAACAAACATTTTAATTAACAAAACGGAAACTAATTTATGCAACGCACATTAAAATGCAAAACACGTAAAATGGAATTAACAATGCACTTTTCAATATCAATTTAAATGTTTATAATGTCTGCATACATTATTTGCATAGTGTAATATACTATGTTATCAAATTTAGTTACACCATCACAATCTTAAATTTTTGAATGAAAAGTGACGATCAACCTGGGTTTGACCTGTTACACTTTTTTATGGATACTTGTAACCAATATTGTGAACTTAGGAAAAAACAAAATTAAGGACAATTGAAGGTACTCAAATATACTATTATTTCATACTTGCTTAGAGACTTACTACAACGAAAAATACAGCCTATGCTACTCACAGATAAATTACCTTTCTAATGGTGAAACAATTATTAAAATCAGACAAGTTGATTTTGAGTTATTCCCATACATAGAAAAATACAAATCTTTCCTCTTTATAATATTAGTACAGATGTAAGTACATTTGAAGCCCAATACACGATTGACTAATAATCTTTTTTAAATTTAAGAAAGATTAACCAAAAAATATTTGATTGTTAAAACAATCTTTAAAAAACAAAGCGACCGGGAATTCCATAAATAAGCCTTTTTTGTCGTATTAAAAGGTATTTTAATAAAAAGTCTATTGTTTATTGATATTGCAAAGAATACGATATAATAGGTTTAAGCTTGCGCTGACAATATTTGAAGGACACTGTTGCTTGAAGTTCAGGTTCAGTGAGGGTCGGTGCGCGATAGCGTCAACACGCTTACTACTTACCCCCTTGGCGGGAAATTCGTGGAAAATTTACACAAATAAAGTTTTTAATTTAATTATTTTAAATACATTAGTGAGTAAAATGTTCTAGTTGTGTTATTTAAAGTAAATGTGAATTTAAATAAATTTTATTTCATGAATTTTTGTGCGTTAAAAGTTAGTTTAAGTTTTATTTCCTTATCTTCGTACGTGAAGAATTTTATTGTATTGTTACAATTTTAAACAGTTATATTATGAGGTAGGACAAATTATTTATGACATATTAAAAAAAATCTATAGCACACTCAAATATAGTACGAAACTTAAATTATTTTAGTAGCTTCATCATAGTGTCGATAAGCGGTCACTAAGGAAATCCCTTAGTATGGGTTTTAAGATTAATCTACACTATGTGACTGGTAATTTAAGATTTTAAATGAAAACTTTTAGTTCTTTGACCAACTGCTCTATTCACAAGTTTATTTCCTTGGGAGTTTTTAAGAAAATTCGATTCCTCCCGGACGTGAGAGCTTGTGTCAAACTTACAGTGAATTGCCGGGATGTTTTGCGGACAAATCTTCTGGAAAGCACCGGACACAACTTCCCGCCTACTTTTAAAATAAAAACATAGAATCGGTCTACATAAACGTAAGTGTACTGTTTTGATCAATGTGTTGTAATGAACACCTTTTGGAGACGATAGTATGTTAACTATAACATTTGACTTTAAATTATTCAAGGTATAAATGTCTTCAAAATACTTTGCGTAGGCACAAAGAAGCAGTAGGAGTGGATTAAATATAAAAGTAGCCAATTAGCCACCCCATTTAATCCATTACCTTCCTAAAATACTTTTAGAAATAAGTGGGAAGGGGCAAAAACGTATACTTAGTATACTCCCATTTCACGCCTGTCGTCCTTATTGCACCAGAAGCGCATATTGTTGAAGACTACCACAAATGACTGTAAAATAAAATAGCACTTTAATTATTTTAATAACCATGTGGTCATCACTGGGTAACAGAAAAGGGGAAAGTGACTTTGCAGTTTAAACTATAGCCAGTCATGTCCCTTACACAAGAGGGCGTCTGTAGTTTACTTTGGGTATTAAGAAACTTGCTTGTAATCTCCAGTTTATTGAGAACATGTGGCATAATCTATTAACCACATTATAAACAAGTTTTTACTTTAACAATTTTGTATAGTGGTATAATGAAATGTGTTTCTTTGATTTAAGATTTTTCTTTGCCATGATTTTTATAAATGTTTTACAAAGCAAATCTAATATTTAATGACCCCAAACAAGTTGTTTGTCATGCGGTCGCGCTTAGACTTTTGTTATACGGACCATTTTTAAGAGAACAAAGGGTGCTTTCCTAAACAAAGGAGTTTGTAGGAAGTTCATTATGTATGGTTAGGCAACTCTTTAGAGAACATTGTTTTAAGAATAAAAGTCTTGATTGTTTAATTGCTTTTTCTATTTACCTAGGAAAATTAAATGTTAAATGGAATAATCTTGTTGAACGTTTCAAAGACAGTCACTGCGTTTGACGTAAAACCTAAGAGATCTTATAAATTCAGCAACACACAGCTAACGAAAAAGTATTGTAGTTTACTAACGTGACGTTACGTTAAAATTTCTTACAGGTTTCTGTACTTAAATTAAATGGCCTCATTATCATCTTGAAGGGGTATAACAGTTTCTAAAATATTTTTTATAGAATTTCTTTCCCTGAAAAATATTCTTCTATTCACATATTTAATCAGACATCCTTAGAGCTACAGTATACTGATTGAATACGATACTCTAATAGTACAAGAATTAATAGGCTGTTGATATGTTTTAAAATTATTTGATTTTTATATTCATTGAATTTGGGAAGAAGAAAATTTACTGTTAAAAAGATATATTTCACAAAGTTTGATGACACTAAAAATAACGAAGTTCGAATAATATATGTGTAGTTAGTAACGCATAACTATGCGTTTTCAGAATAAATATTTAGTTTTTTATAACAGACATAAATAATTAAAAAAAGTATGAAATATTGTACAAAAGTTTTACAATCTCTCAGAAATTAGGGTAACATCTGACCTTACAGAAATGTACCCAGAAAAGTATTTAACGACCATGCCCTTAAATTGCGTTTGTAAATTACGCGTTTAAGTGTTTTGTGGGCATTACATTGTTCATTTATGCCTCTTGGCTTTGTCCGCCGTTTAATTATATACGGCATTAATTATATTTGGGATATTTTTGACTATGGTGTATTCAATAATAATAATTATAGTTATAAATGTTATATTAAAAATACTAAGATATTAGGTACGAGCTGTTGCTCGCGATTTCGCCCTCGTGAAATTAAAAATTAATAAAATAATATAGCCATGTTACTCACAGTTAAATTACCTTTGTAATGGTGACAGAATTTTTAAAATCGGCCTAGTAGTTTTTACGTGAATCAAATGTAACAAAAATACAAATCTTTCCTGTTTATAATATTAGTGTAGATAGAGACCTGACATAGATTTTTTTCGTAAACGTATTTTAGTTTAGAGAGTTTATATCTGTTCTCAACCATTACTTGACTGTATCATAAGTATGAAAGATTATTTAGGATTGAAATAAAGTGGACTAATACAAGTTTTCCTTCGTTAATAGTTCGTAAAGTTAAATATGTGAGAAGTGAGTTTTAAAGTGGTAAAGACGGTCGAAGAGATGGACTCGGAAATGGAGATACAGAACTTTTTCAATTGCACTCAACACATTCTCGGCCGCGACACATCGTGGGAGAATCTCAATGTGTCGCAGTTGTTGGATTTATTGCCCAAGCAGTTACTGGAGGATGTTAATTTGAAGTAAGTTTAACTGTTTAAAATGTAATATGCATACATTTTGTTATTATTCTGCTCTAAATAATTTTATTATTACAACTATACTAGATTTTTTACGGGCAGTCTACTACTGCTACTATAGAATCTTCACTATTTGATATTTTAATTCTTGTTAAACCTATGTTTTTGATTGTATCTTTTTCTGGAGATATATGGTATCAGACCCAGTGTTAAGTTAATAAACAAATAAAGTTTAGCCCTGAGAATTTTTCCGTGGTGATTACGAGGCGTCTCAAACACTCGCCGCGGTCACCCCCAGGGTAGGATTTGATATAATGTGCGCTTCACGTTTTATGTTTCGTTAACAGAGTAACACTCGGCAACTGTATGGGGCTAGGCAGAAGGCCATACAGCCCGCCATGGTGGGGACAGTTCGCCTGGTTCATTGTATTCGCAGTAATGCTTTTACTTGCGATTATCGGAAATACATTAGTTATTTGGATAGTACTAGGTAAGTTTGGTTCATCATTAAAACATAAATAATTTAATAGTTATAATTATTTAATGGCCTAGATAGATAGAGAAATATATAGATGAAATACTGGTGACTTTCATACCTTAAAAAAGAATGTGGTTTTTGTGTTGAATTTAAACTTTATATGTATGAGTTTACTTTTAACTATCATTCAGTTGTTTTTTGAGAATTACTTTATCTACGTTTTTTCTATAGCCCATCGACGGATGAGAACCGTGACGAACTGTTTCCTGGTTAATTTGGCTGTTGCGGATCTTCTAATGGCAACATTGAATGGAGCTCCGAATTTTGTCTTTTTGGTGACAGCCAATTGGCCATTTGGTTCAGTTACCTGCAGAGCGAGTAACTTCACGGCTAACTTGACAGTATCTGCAGGCGTTTTCACTCTTGTAGCCATCACTGTCGATAGGTAAGAATGCTTCTTTAGATTCTTATTTAGTTTATATTCTTACTGTAAATGTAAGTCAAGGTAGAATATAAAAATCGTATAACAGGAAACAACTTGTCACGTTAACCATTGTAATATTTATAGTGAAATTGAGGACAATATCCAAAATTCCTAAGGATTCCTTCATTGTAATACAATCAGTAATCTTTATTAAAATAAGATTGAACGGGTGTAAATCTTTTTTAATACGACGCCATGGCTGAAGTAAATTAAATTGGTAAAATCTCCCTGATTTAGGGAATTTTGGCAGCACCAAAATTCATCGTATCACTCAATAGGCTAAGTTGTCAATCACTAGTATGTAATTAATCGACATAATTGGGATTTGTCATGCATCAAAACTCTATACTATCACACGTAATGAATTGGAAGATCATATTACATTAAGTCAACGGCTGGTCAAATACCCATAGTATGCAGTGGAGGAATGGAGTAAACCATGGCTGATATTATGTGTTTTTCAAGTTGTAATAAAATTTTTAATTTTTTATGCCTTTAATGTTTTACCAAGAAGGTACGCAATAATGAGGAAATGTAATATTATCCATTGATTAATGATCCTTATTTTTAGCGGCATCCTCAAAAGTCGCAAAGGCGTGACTCGCGGAATTTCATGAAGAAGTTCAGTTTTAGACAGGGCTATGGCGTTGGTTATTATTAAACCTCTTGTAAGGCAGATTTTAAAGAAGCAAATATCAAAGTTTTAGCAGCAGCAGCATTAATATTTTGTTTATCTCTAGTCTACTATTACTAAATTATAGATGTAGTCACTTTTGTTTTCAAATAAACTTCAGCATCCATAAAGTATGTATAGTTCTTGCAAATGCAAGAAAAATATTGATGCCTGGCTGACCATAAATTAATATTTTGTTTCTTTTATGTAGATACGTCGCTATAGTGAAACCCTTACATCATAGGCTTAGCAGAAGAGTCGCTCGCGCCGTACTATTCAGTGTGTGGTGTTCTAGCATTCTGCTAGCCTTACCTACCCTGATATATTCAGATACCTACACCAAAAAGTAAGTACCTAGTGTTTTATTGACGAAATGTTAATATCTGCGTATTTAGAATATCGGTCTTGAGTTATTTGCGATAAAGTATACCTTTTTGCACATGTTACATTTTAGATTTCTAATTCATAGTGTAAAATGGAAGTGGTATTAGAATTTAAATTGAAAAACGAAACGAAACAGTAAATATTTTGAAACACAGACACGTAAGCTTGCAATTTCGATATGACCAATTTGTATATTTACAATAGGATACGCTTACAAATATTGAAACCTCTAAAATTAATCTGGCTTGATGAATTTTGTTATTAACCTCTCCTTTATATATTTCACTAATTGATTTTACTTTGTTTTGTCAGTGTTTAGGCTGTACTTTTAATTAATGGTACGGCATAATGCTACCAGTATATCCTTGATAATAACCAAAGAATAAAATGACGCTACAACGAAGTTTTAGAGGAAATAATCAGAAAGCGGAATTAAATTTTGGGATAAGATTTTATTTAAATACGTAAATCTCGACCATTATCGTTATATCCGGGAAAGAGACTACATTTCCACTTCACGCAATCTTGATACTACACTCACGCACGATAACGAGAGCTCTTAATGACGTCCTTTTACATTAAGTCGCTAACTTCTTCCATACAAACGATATGTGTCAATAAATATAAAGATAAAATCATGAGTGTTTTTGTCACTTAAAGGCTTATGGGATCGAATAATGGAATATTTTCGATAAGTGGCCAAACCAATGCAAAAACTAGCGATAGAAAACTAACGAAAATTAATGAAATTAAAGCTGAAAGACGCTGCTATATACAACCACTTTTTACTTTATATGTATGATTGTTCCATAACAACCATTTATTGACACCATTGTCTATATTATAGATTTTTATTCTATAATTGTATGTACAAAACATACCTTTTAGTTCACAAAACACGAGAACATTTTATTCTCGTATAGTTTTATGAAACATGTATAATACAAAATAAATAAAATTGACAATAATTGCTCAATAGTGTAGCGCATTTACTGCGTTTAAACTTTCGAATACGCCCACACTTTAACCGGATGAACACAATAAACGTATTTTACTCCGACAATATCCTCTAAGCTTTCCACATTTTTAATGCACGGTTGCTAATGGAAAGAAAACTTGGGAATACCAGATTTTACTAACAATAATTATTGTTTTTATCGTGTTTAAGTTTCTGTATTATATTTTATTTTCACAAAGAGTCTAATTAATTGTATGACAAATATATAAATGCGAAACTGTTACATTAATGTTTCGTAAATTGAAATTAGAAAGCCATGTCTATAAGTTTTAATTTTTAGCAAGTATAGTAATCTAAAAATGTAATGCCAAAGGAAGTGGTTAACAAGAAAATCAATATTCAATAAATGATTAATCCCATAACATAAAAGAAAATGATCGCATAAATTAGTACTTCTAATAGGAATTGCGTCACCATCTATTTAGGCTTATTAGTATGCATCGTATCATCTATCGATAAGGCATGTAAATGCGTAGGCACACCCAAGGCCTTCGTTTAATCCTGATCACATAAAATAGCCCAACTGGCGAAGTAGATCGTAAGCAAGGCCTTTTCCGGCCAAGCCCACTCGCATCAGCTTGTTTTTAGCTAACGTATAAATTTACTTTGTAACACAATTTATATAAAAACAGTGGAAGCATTTTTTTTATAATTTACGCAAAAACGATAAACTTTATTATAATTTTTGCGAATGAAAAAGCGGTTCTCAAATTAATTTACTTTTAATAATTAAATGAGATTTTTAAACAATTAAAAAGAGGGATATTTTAATTGACTTCAAAAAGGAGAAGGTTCTCAATTCGTCTGCATGTATTTTTAATCAAATAACAAATATTAAAAAACAATTCAGACTAAATATAATTATTAATAAATTACATTAATTACGTAAATAAATTATAGACTTGTAATCCTATTTCCATTAGAGTAGACAGTATTGTGAAGTTAAAGTTACGCCCTTTGGGACATAAACGTGACCTATGTTTGTTATTTGTTTGACAGTATACAAATTGCAGATATATTTATTGCTCAACAAGGTACAGAGTATTTTCCTTTTTAATACTATCAATGAATAATTAGCCTTGTAATTTAATTTATTAGTAAGTTATAGAATGATAAACTAAAGTTTTTTTAAAGTTCACCTAATGATATAGAGTGGTTATCCTTGGGCCCAAATTAGACCTTCATTTTTATTTTTTTAATTTACTTTATATATCTTCCTTACCATCAACTATAACCGTGTCATTTCACATATAAAGTTCGCTTGTCGTATTAATATTATGATAATTTTCAGATACATAAATGGTGAGCGTGAGATATGTTTTATCAAATGGCCCGACGGCAGTTACCCTACATCTAAGACAGATTACTGGTGAGACAGTTATTAATTGCTTATGTTTATTGTAGGTGAACATTCTGTGTATTAGTTTTGGGTAAAACTTCCTTATCATATAAAGTTTCACGAATATTTGTGTTTTGTTTATTAAGCTACTTGTAATAATCAAGACATATTCAACAGTGTTTTTGGAAATAACAAATGTATTAGAAAATAAGTCGAATTTTCTAGACAGTTTAAATGTGTTTACCTTTTTTACATCATATTAAGTAATAACCTTTGCACTGTGTACTTAAGTAAAATATTTTTAATCTGTCTTATGAATAGAAACGCTTAAAAAAAGTAAGTTTATTCACTTATTCAGGAAATGTCCCGATTTATTATCCGTTCTAAGGAATGTCACGTCTATCGTTGCTTTTGAATATTAATAAACCTTCGATGCATACTAATGAGGGAAATGTTAATTTTAGCTACAACTTAGTGTTCTTATCTGTGACGTATGTGGTCCCTATGTCTGTGATGGTGTGGGCGTATGCACAAATGAGCTCTGCGCTGAGAGGGCATGGCATCGGCGAATGTACGCATCATCAGATGCAGATAGTTCGAGCTAAAAAAAAGGTACATATAATAATAGTAAATAAAAATATTATAAACCCAATAAACCAGTCTTAATTATACCAAATTATACTTTATTCAAATTGCTTGCTGAGGTATGAACCACGCCTCTTGTAAATCGAATCTAATAGTAGATTAATTAAACAATCTTGTTACAGCCTTTTCTATGTTTAGTTTTTACATTGAAATTATACCTCCGACCGAACATCATAAATATGTTTGTAATTTGAAGGAACTAGTAGTGCATTTATATTCTTATTTTTTGAGTGTTCGGAAAACTCACTGTTATGGAAACACTTGATACTTCTTTTCATTAAAATAATTGCGAACTTCTAAACATTTTAAATATCCCCACAGGAGTCGAATAACAATCGAACACAACGCCGCGTAATTGTATTCGTTAAAAATTGTTATTATTATGTAAAACCGCGTCTACTTCTACACAGGTGGTGCGTATGTTTGTGCTCGTCGTAGTGGTTTTCGGAATGTGCTGGTTACCGTACCACGCGTACTTTGTACTTGTGTACCATCACCAGTCCTTAGCCTCCGCTCCATTTGCCCAGCACATCTACCTGGGCTTCTACTGGCTAGCTATGGCTAATTCTATGTTCAATCCTCTGATTTACTATTGGATGAGTAACAAGTGAGTATATCATACCAATCATACTTCATATACTAATATTACAAATGCGAAAGTTTAAATGGATGGATGTTTGTTGAGTTTGTAGCTTAAAGGGCTGAAAGGATTCCGATGAAATTTGGTACAGATGTAAAGGATAGTATGGAAGAACACAAAGGCTATTAACATTTGTTTTTTTTAAAACCACGCGGACGGAGTCGCGAAAGCTAGTTATAAATATAATTGATGATTTAACCGAAGTTATAAAGAGGTGCGTAATTCGTTTGTATGTTTGTTGCTGGACTTTAAATGTATTGTTTTATGTTTTTGTTATTACAAATGATGGCCTTTAGTGACTATAAATCAAAGCATATGTTTTGTAAACTCTAAGCTATAAAGATTATTGCCGTTTGCTCAGTAACATTACGTTTAGATTATTTAATAAATTACACCACTGTTTTATGAATAATATCAGATAATGGTGGTTCTATTCCAGTCATTAGATATCGTTATGAATCAAAGCTCAAAGCTGCGTCAAAGTAAACGAAAATCAATAGGCCGGTGGTAAATTTAAACAAATGGTTTACCGAGAAAATTCAAATATGTTGCTAAATTACATTTGTTTGTAACAATGCACTTTCATGTTTTGGGAAAACAATTTTTAATATTTACAGTCCCGACATTTATAGGAACTGGGTGATTTACAACGCACAATAAATTAACTGAAAACATTAATTTGTTTAAGCAATGTTTCACGCTTTGTTAGCGTCAAATAAAAATGCAAAGATAGTTCAAAAATGTTATGCGTTACTCGAGCGTTTTTAAGTTAATACTCGTTAAGTACAGATAAAAATGATAAAAACCAAAGTATTTGAAATATTTAAGGTCCTTTAAAGTAAATTGTTTTCAGGTTTCGTGTTTATTTTCGAATGGCACTTTGTTTGTGCCGGTCTGTGAAAAATTCGACGCCTGATCAATTAACAAAACAATTCGAATTGAACAAATCTTTCTCTGGTAAGCTTACATTGGTAATGTTTTATTTGACAAATTCTGTAAAAGTTTTTCAACATAGATTTTCTTTCTCTACACCACTACTTTAATCCATTCAAACTTTCTTTGGTGTACAAACAAAATACATCCTTTATTATATGCTCTTTATTTCTCTTTATAAGATATCCGTACCATTATAAGATTGTCAACCTTTTTCTTTAATTTTTGGAACTGAATGTATGAACCTACTTACATTTAAATACAATATTCTGTATGTTAGATTTTATACAATTTTCTATAGCATATTTGTATTTGCTTTAGTGAGCCAGAGACATTTCCACGGGACGTCATCCTGTTCGCGGGCCTGACACTCGGACAGACGGTGCAGACTCTCCCGCTCGATGCCGCTACACGGTACGTATAACACTTATAACAATGGACAGTCTTTTTATCTTTTTATGGATAATCTTTTACTATTAGTACTATCAGGGAATGTGTTGGTGTTCTATTTAAATAGCTACAGTTGTTTGAAAGGCGCGGAACAATAACTAATAAGACGCATATGTTAAATGTGTACACGGCTAATAGCTCCGTTTATTTTTACGGTGTTCCGCAACTCACTTGTCTAATTGGTTGTTTGTAGAATTGCAGCAGAGGCGTAGTTTGTCTCGTTACAACGAACAAGGATTTTTTTCTGTAATTTAAACACCGCGAAGGACCCTGATTGTATATATCCGATGGCGCCGAGTACTTAACAGGGAAGAGTTTACATTACTTTTAATTAATGTAGTGTTTTGTTTACAGATGAGTCAAAGCCTAGTCAGACAAATGGAAACGTGGTGAGGATACACGCGAACGGTACAAGAAGTAACGGCGTAAGAAATTACCACGAGCTCGAAGATAAATTGTAGACTTAAGAAAACTTCAAGGTTATAATGTAACTTTGTACAGATAACGTATTTTGTTCTATCTAGTCGTTTCCTATTGCATTAAAGATTTAATCATCCTAAAGACTGTCACAAAAGTTTCCAACTGCGAAAAAAATGTGATTTTCTTTTTAATCGTAGAGTTTCGACTCCTGCTCTCAACAGAAATGAGAAAATATTTTAATTGGTTTAATGAAAATCATTAGTTTAAATGAAATAAATTAACATTGTATTTTTAATCTTAATGTAAAAACAAGTAAGTATAACTGTTGCGAAGATTTTAAAGATTTTTAATGTGTATATTCTCTATATTATAAAACGTTAGCTGTATATTAAAATATTTATTCTTGTATAAATTAGTCGTACTTTAGCTTAGTAACACAGTTAAAAATCCATTGAATTTTGAATCGATTTAATTAATAGAAATAAAACATCTTGACACACTAAGTGTACATTTGTTATTAAATAGATATTAAAACTATGTAAATAAAATGCTAAAATTAAAAAAAATGATAATAAATTATGGTTGTTTAATTTGGAACCTCTAGTTTCAGAACAGTATACATTTACTTATTTCTGGGTCCATTACGTAATATTTTTTATTATTTTATACTTTAATAATTAAGAACACTGAATCATACTAACGTAAAAGCAAAGTTGAAAAGTCTATCTTTTAGGTAGAATCTAATACTTCTGATATTATCTTTTATGAAAGATTTAAAATCCCCGCAGCTGTTTCTCATGTCAAATTTATTCGGGGAAAATAAAAATCTCATTTTGTTTTCACAAAACGAAGGTAGGTAGTTTATTTTGTTTAAGACATTGTAAAGAACTTTAATAGAATAAAGGAATCGCGAAGTAATTCCAACATTTAAAAGTCTTTTTATTTTTTCTTACCTTATGAAATATTAAAACAACGAATTCAAGGGTTTTGTAAACAAAGTTAGTCAAATAATTTGCTCGTATGTAACAAATGTAAACATTTACTTCTCATCTTGATTAAAAATCGTTTAGAGCGGATGCACACCGTTAACTAAATTATCGCGCAACTGTGCGATTACCGATTGTTTCGCAGCCTAGTTGCATAACTAAAAATCCAGTAGTGTACACCTCCATATAAGCTCATAGGAACCAAAGCGTGATTGAATAGTTGTGCGATAGTTTAGTCAAAGGTGTGCTCTTAAAGCTAATTGTTTTGTTTTGATCAGTATAATAGTACAGAAGAATTGTTCATTACTGAATCGTTTGATATTTATATCTATCTATACTTATTATAATAAAGGGTAAACACACTTCTTTGTTGCCTAAGATCTCAGCAATTACAGCATATTTTTGAATAATTCTTTTTTTTAATAAAAAGCTTTAGGCTATATATTTTCACGCCAATAAACTTAGGGGATAAATATTTTATATAAAAAACCTTAATGTGGGAAAGAGACCATAAGTTGCTGCCAACATCAAGGAAGTAAGAATGCCAAGTTTTGTCATGTCATGTCATTTTGACATTTGCAATTGATAATTTGACGCACTCACGAAATCGCACGGGAACAGCTAGTATCAGATAAATGTGATATGGAATGTAACGATCGAGTTCTGTTGCACGTGTCTTCAATTTATCCCGTAGACGTTGCACTTATAAAATGCTACACGAGAAATAGAAAGGAAGAATTTAAGACGCAGAAAAAGGACACCCTTAACACATTTCATTATACTGAACCGTTTACATTATGAATTTTATCAGCCTTTCCTGATCAGCTTTTCGCCTTTCAAATAGCTATTTATAAAAATTTATCTCGACATTTCTGTCTTATACGTAGAAGTAAAAATGAACGAGATGTCATGAAATGATAGTAAGTATGTGTTTATAAACAATGAAATTATTTAATCTATACTACTAAAAGAGGCAAGATTTGTATTTTTGATGTAATGAATAAATTCCAAATCTACTGGACCAATATCGTATACATTTACCATTAGTAAGCCAACATTGTTACTGAGTAACATAACCTAGAAAATTGCGAGAAACAGCAATTTATTACAATCGACTCTGATGTTTTTTTTCATATTGGCACTGTTATAGTAACTCACATTGAAACTTGATGTTTCGCTGAAAGACAACAATCGAAAGTGTCAATTAGAATAACGATTGTTGGGGTAAAAAGGGTCCGACGGTTGCTTCGTTTACGTAAATCATTGTCTTGTCGCATTATTTGGGAGTAACAACATATTACGGCGTACCTTCGATAAGAACTCTCCCTTTTTCAATTTAGATTTTGTATTTATGTTCTACTAACCTTTTATTTAAATGTTTATGTTTAACCTGTATTTAGCTCAAAGATAATAACGTAATTGGATTTTTAAGACATTAACAGATGACACAAAATACATTTTTACGTCTTAAATTATTGCCTAAATTTGATAAATTACTTACTAAATTTAAAGTACAAATATTTTTAATTAACTTCTATTAAGTATATCTAGACTGTTCTTAATATTAAATGTATATAAGAAATATCTCGTAAGAAAAATTTGTATAGATGTTAAGAATAAACAAAGGATTGTTGGTAAAAACATTCTTGATGTTTTTTTACTTCGTATTGTTAAAACATGGTAATTCCCTGAGGGCAAAGTCAAGGTTACGCCTACATAAGAATCACTTTCCTAACAATAAATAAAACAAAATTTATCTCCTAACGGACGGAGTAAAAAGCTGTGTAATAAGGAAAAAGGAGAAGATAAAACCTAATATTGTGATATGAGTTGAGAAAAGTTTGCTACGACCGGTAATATAACATAATAAGAAGATGTGTATTGTGTTTATTCATATTTAAAATAATGCGTTGGATATTATTTCTGTGATAAATGTTTAGCAAATGAAAGTAAAAAAGAATTGTCAACCTTTTTGTCCCTTTTAAGAGATGATGAATCGCGTCTTTCAAAAATATAATTGTGATAAAATAAAATGCATAATTAAAATGGAAGATTGTCACTTTACAATTGTTATCCTGTTGCAAGGAGAGAATGTTTTTGCTTCATTATGATTTCTAAAGAGCGTAAACAATTAATTTAATTTTAAATAAAACCTTTTTGATGTTATTTCGCAAAAAAATTGCTTGAATTTTCTTCTAGACGTTATGAAAAAACAATGTAATTTTTATAGCATAGGCTAAGTTTGGGTTTAGCCCAATATCGTTACACTTTATATGATAGTAAATTAGGCAGTCTCTTGAACTCAGCCTTGAATTATGATAAAAGCATCAATTGGGAAATGTGTGGCTTATTGAAAACAGACACGCAAAAACATAATAAGTAAGCGTTAACAGAAATAGAGTAATAATGGGAAGAGTCTCTGGAATTAGAACATAATTCATAGAAGTAAACATTCTAGAAAGTTCTACAGCAGTTTTAATTAAAAAACGAAGGAGGTTGATTAACTTTGTTAACTCAGAGTTCTTTAATGTTAAGAAATCCCCAAAGTTGCAACAGATGATCAGTTCAGTTCTGTCAGTTTTAACTGAACAGTCAAACTGTAAAACCTGTTTTTTGTGAAAAATTATGTGTGCTTGGGCAATATTTTAACTGTCGTTGAACTGTAGAGCTAAAGTATATCGCTAAAGTGGTCTAAATATACATTTACTTTCGTTTTCTAAACTCCTCGCGGATAAAGTCGGAGGAAACAGTTTGTTATCGGATGACCTCGCTTTTTAATCATTTTTTGCATTGCATAGAAATCCGTTCAGCCGTTTAAGCTACAAACTTTAATAAACATCCATCCATCTAAACTTTCGCATTTATAATATTAATAGTTTAGATTAGATTCGTTAGATTACTATCTATGATTGTATTTCAAAATTTAATTTGCTATAATTACAATATTGTTATTGATTTTAAAATGAAGAAATCAAAGTCCTTGGATTCACTACGGCAGGGGGTAAACGACGGGGCGGCAAAGAACCGCCCTTTAAAAACAAAAACTGGCGCCGGATGTATTTTAAAACGCGATAACGAGGTTATATGTTCATCACGCTGCACATCATGCGTTTATACTTCGTTGAACTACACACGCTGCACGCAATTGAAAAATGTCGCCAAAATGATCTCCTAGAGGTTATCTCCACATATGATAATTGTCTCCTTGAGAATTAGTTTAACAATACGATATCTAACTTTAAGACGCTTGTCTAAAAGAGATTTCAATCGAAACATCTTTAAGAAACTATAACACGAAAATGCTTTTATAGAAAACAATATTTTGCAGGTATTATTTACTTTAAGAAAATATACTATAACCTTATAAGCCACGGGACATTTATAAATAACATCTGTTAAATATGTTTTAATAAATAAAAAATGTCTACATTGTAAAAATTTTAATTTCTCTAACTTTTCATTTTGGTCACATTTATTTGAATGTTTTTGAAATACGAAACGCTTTATTAAAAGAGCTTGTTAAAACTTTTAATTTGTTACAAAAGTTTGTCAAAGGTCTTTGTGCATTTAATTTTCTCTGAGTGTAAAGGAACCGGTTAATAAATAAACTTGTGTGCACAGGTAGGGTCTTTAATTACGTTTTATTTTAAAAAAAGAAATAAAAAAACATTTAATTGGCTACCATTACCATTCGTATTTACATGGAACAGTGGTGTTTTCGGTTAGAATTAACGATGCTCTAACTGGACTAAAGATGAATGACTAAAGGTCTAAATCTGAAGTGCCTTATCGTAAAACTAATTTTATATCAATGTAGTTGATGACGATACGATATCTCGCAAAATTTCGTGCTTTGCCCCTAAATCAGAATAAGTCAGTATCGACCGTAAAATAAACTAATATGTGAAAAAAATTATTAGCAACAGTAAGATATCTTTGTTTACTTATTTAAGAATCATGTGTTTGTGAATATTTGTAGGCTCCTTAATCAATTATCCAGCAAAGCGTGTCAATCCGAACGCTTATTAAACAGCGACTTACTTTGAAATAATGAAGTTCGAAATCAAAATGAGTTGACTTTACACCTCTTTGGTTACTTTGCGTGATGTTTTCGATTTACTAACTCACTTGCGTTTGCCCCGAGACACCGTCCGCAATGAAAATATACTTAGTATAGCTTATGTGTTCATCCAGACTGTGTACTATATCTGTGCCAATATCGATCGAGATCCGTTTATCAGTTTATGCTAACGAACATCCATCCATCCAAACTTTCACATTCATTATATTTTCCCTTGCATATATCTTATATAAGGGGGTACCACACTATAGTTAGGTGTGACTCAAAAATAAAAAAAATATGTATTTAGCTTTTAGTAATATGTATCAATAAATAGAAATATTGTATCGGTTTGTTTGTTAAGAGATCTTTTACCCCAAAGCTATTCTCTTGATTTGTGAATCTCGTTACTAAGAAACTTTTTCCGCTTATTCTAAAGGTTGCTACCGTAATAAAATAAATAAAAGGAAATGCTAATTAACTTTAACAGAATTCGTTAGAATTTTGTACCTAATGGAAATATTTGTTTTAATCTTAAATTTAATTGAATGTAACTGTACATTATTCAATGCAACAATATATTCTACAAGTATATAAAAGATTTAAAATTGAATATTGTAGCAATATACTTAAATGTATAAACATTAAGCTATAAAAGATAAAATACGGATTTTAAGCAAACAATAACTTAAGCAAATAACTAAAGCTTCACAGGAAATGTTTGGAGGAAACGGAAGTCACTGTATTCATATATTTTGCGTTGACATTGAAAGCCTTTGTGAGGTTGGATAAAAGTTTTACTAGAAACATTATTCTAATGCTTTAATCCATTTATTAAAATTGTCTATTGTTGTATAAATATGACTATAAAAAAATACTAAAGTATTAAGAAAAATTAATAAAACTATCTACTTTTAAAAAATGATTTTGTCTTTTGTGTATCGCCAGTCACGTGGTAAGCTAAAGTTATTGGACCGTCACGCCTGAGGTAAAATTAAGATTAACAACAAAAATATACAAAAACCGCCTGGAAAACTCAGTGACAAAAATACGCCATATCATACAAAAATAATATAGAAATATCATCTTTCCAAATATAATAATAAACAACTAATAAATAATCGAAGCTATCTTATTTCAGATTACGAGTATGACACTTTCTAATACCAGAGTGACCATAAATAAAACATTTCACGGAGAATTCCGAATGACTGAAAACATATTCATTTCTTATTGTTTGTTACATGCCTTGCTGTGATGTGTTTATAATGATGTGTAGAATATTGTATTTAGCTAATTTTATATGTACATATGTATAAAAAAACACAGCCTTAAATTTTGACCTTGTACGTACCACAGGACGAATAAAAGTCACCTTTCACATCTTATTCTAATGAAAATAAAAACCTTCATGAACGAGGGTTTATATAACATTCCGCTCACAATTGTTGCGCCAAATGTTAACCCAGAAAAATAAAAAGTAAAGTTTGTTTAAGACCTCTTTTATTCAGTGTGAAGTAATTTAAATTAACTTGTTATAAAGAAGCTTTGTTCAATAATTCGATTCATGTGTAATTTTTTAAATATTTTTTTATTAATGTTCCGATGGTAGAGCCCCCAAACAATACATTTAACTACTCAAAGTCATAAATAATCGTAGTAAGAAAATGCTAAAAGATATCACAATAGCGCCAGTAGTAAATCTGAATTGCGAGATTACAAACATACAACAAATAAAACCAATAAGTTTATTGTTTTTTTAAATGCTGTTCAATTATCGTTAGACTTAGCGTCTTCTTGCCATAATTTCAAATTAACTTCATGCAATTCATCGCACCGTAGTAATGGATTTCTAAAATAAATAGATACGTCCTATTACCAAAAAAATAATTTGAAAATTATTATTTATCTGTACTATTATAATAAAGCATAAACACACACTTCTTTGTTGCCTAAGATGGCAGCAATTACAGCACATTTTTGAATAATTCCTTTTTTTTTAATAAAAAGCCACTCATGTCATGCTTTCGGCTATATGTTTTCATGCCATTAAACTTAGGGGGTAATGATTTTGGATAAAAACCCTAATGTGGGAAAGAGACCATAAGTTGCTGCCAACATTAAGGAAGCAAGATTTCCAAGGTTTGTCATGTCATGTCATTTTGACATTTGTTATTGATAATTTGACAAATGTAAACAATGAAAATAAATCATAGTTTCATGCGGATGAAGCCGCACGGGAACAGCTAGTTGATTATATAAATATGCTTACTTATCTGATACCAATTCAAATGCTCTTCGTTGCATCCATGTTATTTTGTGTCCGTTGTCGCAAAGAAGTCTTGCCATAGAAGCGCCGTAACGAATACTATTTAATTGAGCTGTTAAAACAAAATACGACAATATAAATTATATTTTATACATCATCACCAACTCACTAGACGTCCCCACTGAGGGGCTCGGAGCCTTTAAGTTAGGTGGCCAGCGCTTAGTCAACCACGCCCAGTGCGGGATTTTTTTTACGGTAAACGAAAACATCGTGAATCCTGCACATATCGGCATAAAAATTCAAAGATATGTGTTAAGTCTACCTACCCGCACTTGTACATAGTCCGGGCAACTAATGCCGTATGCCGTTAAGCGATAATTGATGAATATGTGTCATCTAGTCTTTGTGGAGACCAGGAATAATGTTAGCGACTTACGTAGAGTGAATGCGATTTCTTGGTCTTGCCCGTTTTCATAGAAGTATCGATCACCGATCCGAATGTTTAGAAATTGCTGCAATAAAATGCAGAGGAAGGTCGGTCCGACTAGAGCACCTGGCTGATGATTCTCTAATGATCCACCAACTACTAGGTCTATATCTTCAACCGATTCGTATAGTTTTTTCAATTTTTTTACGTTCTGAAACAAAAATGATTAATAAAAACTTAACGTCTTTTCTTTAGGTTTTGTCAAGAAACTAAATATATTACTGGGTTACTTTTTGATCGTCAGTACAAAAAAATAGTGTATTCTTAGATTGTGTTAACCGGAAAAGACTTTAAAAGATATTAATTGAACTATTGAAGTTTTCTTCAAGTTTTTGTGTTCCCGCCGCTCGTTTGCCCCCTTCTCATATTAAAAATATTGTTTGAGTGAGACCTTGAAGTGATGTTTGAGAGAGTTTGACAGAGAGAGACCTTGAGGTCATGTAACGCATCTGTAGTTTCTCTGGTGTTGGGGATGTCTAAGGGCGTCGTTAATCACCTCAGTGTTTTCGCCGCTCGCTTTATTGTTAAAAAAATGATATAAAAATGTAGAATTCACCTCTTTTGACATATATCGTTTCAATTCCTCGAATCTATCTACTAAGGGCAAGTTGCAGTGTGCTCTGAGTTGCATGTAAGTGCCCAGTCCGTGGTCCCGGCCGCGCTGAATGTCCATAGCACGTAAATCACTGCCACTAGAACGGTTCCCTCTGAAACGTTGTTCCACATATTAGACATATGATTAATTTTCCGTTATCCTTATAACGACTTTACTACAAAAATGGGTTGCTGAAGCTTTACTTTATTTTATTGTTTGCTAGTAACTTATAAATGTTGAATAACACTAACGAATGATTAAATAAACCTGGGAAACCGGCCATAAGACGACAAACTTGGCCGAAGAAACATCAATTTATATTTAACTTATCACTACCAGTTCCACATTCCTAAGACAATAAGGATAATTACACAGTAAGTCTTGCATTTCGAGTATGGGAAATACACAATGCAGCTGGTTATTAAATGAACCTTAATTTGGGAAATGACGGGGTACAAACTTTGTCACATTTAATTCTCAACCCTCATTTTGTAATCCGCTATTATTTAATCGCTGTCCATTAATTTAAGTCAAAACCCTATTATTTTTAAAGGTTTTTGGTCATTCAATTTAGCCCCTGATGCTTTAGCAGCTAAAGGTTTTTTTAAACCAAGCCATTATAATAAAACTTAAATTTTACTACAAAGCGGACGGGCCACGAGAATATCCGTTTTTAAATATTATATTTTATACAATAACGAATTCATTTTTTTTAATAATGAATTTTACTTGAAAAGATTTCGTGTAACTTCAAGGTCCCAATACTCATCACTTTTATCAGCTTCTTGATACGATAAGCCTCGAATTAAATCGTCAAAGCCGTTGTCTTTCTCCAGTAACGCCGGTCGGTTGAACCAGTCACTTAGGCGTACGGATTGCGCTAGTGTACGATCCTCAGTTATTAACCTGCAATAAGAAAATAAGGAAACATTTTTGAAACATTTTTTTTAGAAGAGGGATTATTTCTTATGGATTTTAATAATGTATCTTACTCCAATTGACCACGTATCATTGTATGAAAATGTCTAAACGCTGCCGATGCATATTCTTTGTATATCGCTGCACTGACATTAGGATCGTAATCGTTAACATATCCTTTTGTGGCTCTGACGTCAGGGTAAATTAATTTTTTGGCAACCATGTTCCTTTTACCTGGAAAGCATCACAACAATGATTTAATTAGTGAAAGTATTGCATGACTAATTTAAATACTGCATGTTAACTTACCAAGAAGTATTGGTAAATATTCGTAATAGTTAATATGCTGTGTTTCGGCGATTGCTATTCTACGCGCCTCTTGGTAGATTTTCTCGTCGTCCCAATGCGGGTTCAGCTTGGATAGAGCATCAGCGATGCGGTTATGCTCATTGACGAGAATGATGTGCAGTGTTGTTAACTGCGGACTTTGATTGCCTCTACCATCACCTGCGTATCAATAATATGAAATGAAAAGTGTTATCTTACTTCTTACAAATCTTACTAATATTATAAATGCGAAAGTTTAGATGGATGGATGGATGGATGGATGGAAGGATGGATGGGTGTTTGTTAGAGTTTGTAGCCTAAACGGCTGAACGGATTTCGATAAAATTTGGTATTGATGTGGATAGTCTGAAAGAACACATAGGCTACTCACTTTTTTTTTTAATTCCAAGTATAAGGAGTCGCGGGCGAAAGCTAGTTTTCACATAAAGGTAAGATAGGACAATAATGAGTCATAAATACGACCTATTCTGAATTTGGTTGATGTAAGGTTTTAACGTTATTTTGTTAACCACATAAGTTATTGATAGCGAGCAAATATTAAAATGGGATGAAGATCCAAATGTAAACATAGATTTTAAAAAGTATGGATGGATTATGTGCAAGAAAATGTGCTAAAAGCGGGATTGAATTCAAATATGATGGTTGATAAAGATGGAAGATCACTGCATACTGTGCCGACCCTCCGTAGGGATAATGACAGGTTGATGGTGATGATGATGATAAGTTATTGATAACTTACCTAGCAAATAACATGGTTCGTCAGTCGAATGTGCTCCTATACAATCTTTCTTTACGTTGCCGGACTGGGGCGGCCACTCATAGCCATTACGTACTGTTGTCCACAGACGACCTCCGCTACCTTCTCTGATAGCTTTCGCATGTTTCTCGTCATTTCCATAGGTAAGAGATAAATCCATGTAAGAAGTGACCACAGATAACTGAAACATTTAAGCAGACATTATTTTCCACTTAATTAGTTCCACATACAGGGTTCAATAAACTCTTGGAGCGTCCGTACACCTAAAACTAAACTATCGCACAATTGTAGTTTCGCTTTCATTCGTATGAGCTTGTATGACGTGTACACACTACTCGATTTTTATTTGTTTTTTTTTATATCATTAGGTGGCACGAGCAAGCAGCCACTTGAATCCGCTAAAATGGCGAAGCGACAGCTGCCCATAGACATCCGTAATTGCAGAAGCGTTGCCTACCCATATCCGACGGAGGAGGAGACGCACATAAAGAGGATACTCCCCCTTCCTATGCATCTCCTTCGGCGTCAAATCCACTTCTCCTTCCCATCCTCTCCTTATAAGAAAAGGGTGGTAAAGAGAAAGGGACTTAATTTAGGCCTCCGGCATCACACTCATCAGACGAAACAAAGAATTGCTTCCATTTCACGCCTGTCTTCTGTGTGGTCGTGGTATCACACCGGGCGTGCCGGCCCATTCGTGCTAAGATGTTGAAGCGGGCACTACCACTGTAGATTTGTGCAAATAAACAGCTGAATTGGCTGCGAAACAACCGACCATCGCACAACAGTTGTTCGAACTTACCGGAGCAGCGCGATCATGAAGGCCAGTACAATTTATATCTTTAGTAGAAGATGTTCTTATAAAGTTCAAACATTCTCTTCCTTCTGGTATATGAACGTCATCACTAGGTGGTATTGGTATATGATGACAAAGTGGGTGGGTGCTCGCGTCCTCAGCTATACGTCCATTGTCGTCGCAACATACAGGCCTTCCTAATTCTAGTAAAAATAAAACAATATTCAATATAAACATTATTATTGGGACATGCTCTAGTTTTTTTTATAAGATAAGGAGGCAAACGGACAGCGGGAATACTGAGGTAATCATGGACAATTATGGTCGCAATACCAAAGAAACTACAGATTCGTTGCCGGTCTTTGAGAAGGTAGTACGCTCTCTTTTCAAAGTACCATAAGTCGTATCGTATTGATGTTACAAAATTAAAAGGTAAAATAAACGTAAACTACCCACTGAGAATGATCAGGGTTCTTACAAACCAAAAGGTTTATTAACCTAAAGTAGTAAAAGCTGATTGTATAAAGTAAGTTTAGGATAAAAAATTACTACAATGCAATTTACACTTAAAGAAGGGTTCTTTGATTTTTTTAAAACTGATAAAGGGCTTTTCACTTACTTGTTACATCGGGTCCAGCAGTAAGTGACAAATCATGCGCCACTATTTGTCCCCATTGCTGAGTATTTAAGTTCCATTTATGTTCGACTTTGTGTTTCGGTATAAATATTTTCATACTGATCTCTCGAGTATTTGGCAATTCCCCACCATCAGATGCTTTGGGCCATGAATTTACACCTGGAGCAAATACAATTGATACTTATGACATGGCTCAATATTTACTAAGCGTAGTAGGCTACGCATTTTCAATTTTAACTGAACAGTCTAACCGTGCAGTTGTTGCAACTGTATGTAGGCAAAACTGTAGATTTTGATTGACAATTAAATCACACCGGACACACAACACTGGTCTACACAAGTACGTTTATAATAAAAAGGATTTCTTATTCTTACCATTTGGATAGTTACTTCGTACCATATTTTTGTAGGGATTATTTGGTGTACCCCAACTAGGATTTCCTAAATTATTACAAGACCCATCGTAGGACCGGTAACGAGTCTTTGTACAAGTCGTCTGGTAGGCAGTACATACTGGCACTGAGGTTAGTTCATAGTCCTTTTCTGTATCTCCATCGTAACTTAAAATATTAAAACAAAAGATCAACAATTTGACGGCCGCGTTTTGTTTTAGAGCGGAGACATACTGTCGTGTAGTAGGTAACTGTAAATAATGTATCCAAAGATTACCCAACCAATTATGTACTTTGTGATTCAGTCGGATTATACATCTTGGGCTTACGCACGTCTTTTTATTTCGTACACCACACATACATTATACTAAACAATCGCATAACAGTTGTGTATGTAATCAGATAGCAGCAACCAGTCTAGCCGAGGTTCGGCCCTCTCGGGCTCCCTTGAATGGGAATGCTAAACGCGTACTGAGTGACAGCCCAAGCCGAGGTCCCCTTTCGGGGGCTCTTGTGCCTGGTCACTCCATGGATCCAAGAGCTCGGTGGCCTCCCAATCCAGTAATAATAACGATGTAAATGCCCGAGCCTAGGCTCCTGAGGGAACTCTCGAGCGACCTCAAGCCCGGTGAATCTGTAAATGCCTCTTCAAGGCAAACAGTGGCAACTTAGTCCCAAAAAAACAACAGTTGTGCGATAGTTTAGTGTAGATTGTCGATTGTTCCGCAGCCCATTCAACTGTTTACTTGCACAACTAAAAATTGTGTAGTGTGCGCGCTTCTGTATAAACTCATAGGAATGAAATGCAACTAAACGGTTGTGTAGAAAAGTTAATTAAAAATCCCCTGTAGTGAGAAAATGTACATGATGTCATTTTTCTCTGGAAATTCATTGGAATATTAAAAAAGTTAAATAAAAACGCTTACTCGACTACATCGCCCAACAATGTCGAATGAATTACAGGAGTAGTAGGTTTTTCATGTTGTCCGGATGTAACCATACATTGAAATAAAATTGTGGTTACCGTAAAATAAAAGATTACTTGATACATAATCTGCAAAGAATACATCGTTTTTTAAGAGGAAAGAAATTAAAAATATTAGCTAATAATAAAGTTAACCTTAATTGTTAATACAAAATAATTTAATATTAAACACATACCTGTATCGAATCTCTTGAAAACTGTATACTAAAATCAACAACCATTAAACATTGATTATTATGTTCGCTTCACAGATAGGCAAGTGGTAATATTATCAACAGAAGTGGGGAATTACTTGTAAAATAATTAAACCTTAATTACCTCTTGTGTTGAGTTTGTCTGACGTAACATTTAGGGCCTGTACCACCACTGGATGATAGAGGCTATTCGATATTTCCATTACATATTTTACACGTTAGATTGTTATCAGACAATATACAATTTGATAGAACAGGCCCTAAGTCACACGAAATCACATGTGAATTTTGTCATCGTATGTACTGCATACTTTGTAAGGCATTGAGAAAGGCCTTAGCTGTGGACTGACACATACTGAATATAATTGTATTCTATCCAATACTAGCTGTTCCCATGCGACTTCATCCACATAAAATTTAAAAAATTTCACTTTATTGTTCACATTTGTCGAATTATCGATTGCAAATGTCAAAATGACATGACATAATGTCCAACCTTGGCAACCTTGCTTCCTAGATGTTGGCAACAACTTGTGGTCTCTTTCCTACATTAGGGTTTTTATCCAAAATATTCACCCCTAAGTTTAACGGCGTGAAAATATATAGCCTAAAGCGTGACGTAAGTACAGGGCTATTTATTAGAAAAGAGTTATTCGAAAATATGCCGTAATTGCTGACATCTTAGGCAACAAAGTAGTGTGTGTTTACGCTTTATTATATTTGTAGAGATTACAGAACACCTTTTAAAATAACACACACATTTTAAAATAACAAGTATACTACCTACCTACTAATATATTTATTGGGTACACCTCGATATACGCGTTGTATAATCACATTTGCTTAGTCTTCTGTTTTCCTTTGTGGATTCTGTTCTTGACACTGTATCGGTTTAGAGATAAATAAATTCGTTTTCACCTAAAACAAGTGACTGCGTACATAACGACAAAAGAAATTTCTTTTGTTTTTATTCTGATTTACATTGTCAAGTGTAATGCCTTACCTAACGAAATATATCTTATGGTTTATTATGATTTACTGTTTTCCATGTTATGTAAAACACAATATTGGTATACGAGTACATAGAGCTGTTTGACCTAGCCGTAAGTTTATCAAGTCGTTTGGCAGTGAATTCTTTGTTTATGGTAATTTTATGTGTAATAAAACTTTCAATAAACGACTACCAAAATCACTAGAAGTTTCTACTGTTATCATGGCAACGATAAATATAGAACTGACTCATAAGAACGCGATATGATTATTAGTTCTGCTAATTATAATTGCATTGCATAATCTAATTATATAATTAATAGGCAAACTGTATTATTTCATGTTTTGTAATTGAAAATGTCTAAATTGATATGCACAAATGACAAACATGACGACCTTGCTTCCTTAATGTTGACAGCTTGTAGTTTATGGTCCCTTTTCCACATATTTTCTAATTTATTTAGCCCCATTTTTTTTATAATAATATTTAGCTCAAAGCGTGGTAGTGTAGGGTTTTTTATTAAAAAAATATTTGTTAAAAATGCTGAGATTGCTGAAATCCAACGCCACGAAGTAATGTGTGTATACGCTTTATTATATTAAAGTATAGAAGTATACATATAGATGAGGAAACTAAGTGAACTGAGTTATACTCGTTAATTAATGTACTCTTGTAGGTAGTTCTAAAATAGTGGCCTTACAGCAGTAACTGCAGATTGCAATTAAAGAAAATTGTAATTGTCTTTTTTTAATTTTGATATGGAAGGGAAAATGAGTGATCGTATAGATATAATAAATATTTCTTACTCACCTCTTTTGTTTTTGTAAAACAGTACAATTTATGTTTAAAATCGAACACTGAAATTAACATTTAAAAATGTTTTATACATGAATCACACAGCTGATAGTATTGCCAAAAAAAACACTGTTACAGAATTATTTAAACTAAATAACACGAATTTTCACGTACGCTATTCAATAAGTCGAGTAATTCTCGTGAACATAATAAACTGCTAACCAACATGCTCTTATCGTTCATGTATTGTTTTCTTTTTGCGATAAAGTAATTCCAAATTTTATGTAGTACACATTCGGAATAAATAATTACATGAGAATTTTTCATATTTACAAAATGTCGAAAATATTTACAAAGTATTTGTTACTCCTATTGGCGTATTTCCTTTAGTCCTTTTGTGGGATTAAATTATTCGTATCGTTAGTTTGTAAGTTAATCTTTCCATGCTCTTAACTCTATCTTATTTTAAATATGTCAAAAAAACTATTGCCAACGCATCAATTTAAGGTGTTGCCTTATCTTGACGGAAAAACACTAAATCCTTTTAATAAAATCTCTATTAAAAATAATACCATCAAATATAAAACCAGAACACTGAGAGCTCCTGAATGTTTGCCATTTCATTGACTTTATAGCCTTTTACTATCTTAAGTGAAGATAAAATTGATTATAAAAATATTTACCATGCTTTAAATGTTTGATCTCGTGGAAATGGAGATATTAAATATCAATTTAGACGAGATTACCCTCATTTCCGGGATCATTGCTAAATTGAATAAAAACCATCGCTTTTTATGTTAATACTCAATGCTCTTTCTTTGTATTTTGTTTTTGATCATTTTCACACTTGTAAAAAGAAACATATTTCTCTACATATCATCACCAGCTCACTATACGTCCCCATCGAGGGGCTCGGAGCCTACCCTAATAAGGGGTGATATATACATTATAAATATACGATTGTTTTACGTTCCATATCACCGAACTAATTATGGTAAAAATTCCATTTTAACTCGATTACCCCACCTGTACAATGAACACTTCAGCCATGTAGATATTTTTCACCTATCAATAAGTAGCTTCAAGAATAAAATAAAATCTAATCTAATTTAAAGAAATATCAATATGTATAATTACGTGATCTTGTTTAGCGCTTTATAATTTATGTACTTACTTAGAAAAATGAACCTCAACAAATTGTTTGTTACAATGTAGTTATGCACCTGTTGGCTAATTTATCTGTTTTGTGTATACTTGTTCTATTTTCCTATGTAATTGTGTGATTAAATTAGCTGTTGTATATACTTATATGAATAAATGAAAAAAAAATAGGTATGTTCTGTGTTTTTAAAAATTTGTAACGTATCTAACCATAAAATATAAAACTGCGTGATAGATAGACCTTTTATCGTAATTAAGTTGCTTAATTGTTTTTTTACCTAAATAAATGAAAAAAAAAATCCTGACATATAGATGTAGATAGAAAACTATAATACAACGGTCGATTTAAAATAAAATTCTTGAACTTTAAAAAGTGTTTTTAACTTTTGTTGTATATTCTATGGAGACGAAGTCGCGTGCAACAGCTAGCAGTGTGATAAAATAAAAGGTCCACACGGACACAGCAAGCTGCAATCCACATTTCTTACTATACAACAAAATCAACAGAAGATTTGACATTTAAAACAAAAGACTTGAGAATTAAACTACGATAAAAACGTTCTAGCTTTTGAAGAGAAAGAACTGAACAAAGAGGACGGGTGTATAATATCCAATATTCTGTTTCTTCATTCACAACATGTCTAGCATGTTCAATTGTTCCAAATATACGCCAAACTCAGCAAAAGATGTAAAAAATTATGAACGAATTCAGACACGAGCTTGATACAAACGCCCTAAGCGTAGGCGTATGTAAATCTACTCAATTTAGATTCGTCTAGCATAGCGTCGATAAATTTTTTACCAATTTACTGAAAAATAGGTCGCGAATGCTTGATGGCTACATTACAGCTGTTTTATTAAGTATAGCGATGTATTTACGCA